ATTGGTATAATGATCACATAAGTTGTAATTGTTGATGGGAGGATAGAATTTACACCATGTGAAAACAATGCAAAATAATTCTCAAGAAGTTTATGGGATTTCCCCATATCATTAAAAGATTCCAAAAGAGGGATCTAATCAATTGGAACCTAAGAATCTTCTCCATGTTGAACGAGTGACCCAATAACATCGAGTTCATGAAACCTTTTATAGTTTGAGGAGGAGTTGCCTGCTAGATGAAAAAGAGAGAGAGAGATAAAAACTCATTTGCCTGACATTTGATAAAGACATGGCTTAATTCTTTGTCCTTTCTTTGCACAAAATGAATCTAGGTGGTTTCTTCTCTGCCTAATGAGTCATGGATGTTCAATTTTTTGTAGCTACGTTCTCAGTAAAAATTTAACCTTTCTAGGATAGTCACCATGCCAAACATCCTCTTGTAATGGGTTGGGAAGGATGCATCCTTTTTTGCCAAATCCATGAAGAGTGATTTTGCTACTATGGAGTAGAAAGTGTGAAGGTTCCAATAGGCAGGCATCTAAAATCTTCTCATGCTCTGTGGAAAAACATCATGAAGCACCAAATTGTCATTTTTGACTGTTTGGCTAAAAGGCACTCCTTTGGCAGAATGTTCTTATCTTTTCTCTATTTTCCTGCACAAATATGTTTCTGGAAAAGAAGTATGGAAAGAAGAAGCTGGTTTTTGGGACTTGGGGCTTTGTAGAAACCTCAAGGAGGTGGAAATAGCAGAATGGGCAGATCTTTCCAATATTATTTCTCCCATCTGTCTAGGCCTAGTGGAGGACAAATGGATTTGGAAACTGAATGGCAAATTATTTCTTTGGCAGCTATCTCACTGAACCTTCAACATCCAAGACTTGCTGCAGCGGTGGATGCCCCTTTTTGTCCATTTTTCCTCATTAGTGTGGCCTTTGCAATTGAAATAGAGAGACTCAAGGTCATTTCACACTATTGCATCAAGGTTTTGGAATGTAATGCTTGCATCCTTTAGTTGGACAGTCGCTCTTCTTCTCTTGATCCCAAGAGCCTCCTCTCACTTACTTTTTCGGGTCACCCATTCTAAAATGAAAAGAAGATCCTTTGGCTTCACATGTTTAGAGCTTTCTATTGGGTATTTTTGGATTGAAAGGAATAAGAGACTTTTTATGGAAAATGAGCGTAGTTTTGATAATATTACCTATCATGTTGTCACATGGTGGAAATTGTCACCTCTTTTTTGTTCTTATAGTTATACATCTTTCAATCAATTGGAGAAGTTTTTTGTAACTCTTTTGGTTTTTGCTTTTCTATTTTCTTTCTTTTTTGTAAATTTCTTACATCAATGAAATTGTTTCTTATAAAGAAAAAAAGGAAGAAAAAAAGAAATGCATCATCATGAAAGTATGCAAGAGAAAGGTCCCATTCCTGTAATTTGACATCCATAAGGAGCATTCTAAAACCCAAATCCCATTCTTGTTAGTTTTCTATTTAGTGTTCTTATGGCTGCTCCACAAAAATTCCTCGGTAGAAAAAGTCTTCAAAAACTTACATATTTCTTTCTTTCCATAAAAGTCATAAAGTAACTCTAAGTACGCAATCCACAACACCTTCTCTCTATTTTTTAACCTCATACCCACCAAACCTTCAAAATTCCGACTGACTATGCCACTTGGGAGGTAAACTAATAATTCAAAGATTTGAAAAAGACTAGACCACCATTTATGAGAAGAAAAACAGTGAAGGAAGATATGGTCTAAGGATTCCTCATTCCTGTAGCACATTCTGCATATGGAGGGGGATAGAGACCAGTTGGGGAACTTCCTTTGGATTCTATCTGACATGTTTAAGCTTATATAACGAAGAGTCCCTAAGGAGAACTTAACCTTTTTGGGAATCTTAAAATTTCATATGAATTTTAATTAAAGGGGCTTGCAATATACTGGTCGAGGAGAAAAGTTTAAAGAAGCGCAACTTGTGTTGACCTGAACCTAGTCTACAAGCATCTATTCTTATAAGCGAAAGCCACCTAGCTGCTGAATTTCCTTTCAAAAATCAACATGCAGAGACCCAAGTCCTAAGTTTGGGTGGTTTCATTCTAACGGGAAGCTGGGAGCCCCTTTCTTAGAGGAAATAGCATAGAAATCTGGAAAGGAAATTACAAAAGACTCCTCCCCCTCCCATTTGTTCTCCTAGAAGCGTATTCTTCCCCTTTTTCCGCTTTGAAATTAGAGAACTTTATGAAATCAGTCCTGACTTATCAATATCCACCCATGGTTTGCCTTTGAACTTCCTTTGGTTGATCCATCGGTTCCACACCAAAGATGGCTGAAATTACCCTCCTCCACAAAGCTGCTTTGCTATTGGCTGAAATTACCTTCCTCCCTAAAGCTTTATCTTCAATAGCAAATCTCCAGAGCCATTTTCTGAGCAGAGCACAATTCCTTCCAAAGCAAGTGGGGAGGGATGAGCAGTTTCACCTTACTAAATTGCAGCCCTGGCGGTAAGTTCCCCCGCTTCAAATGAAGTCCCTGATCATTTTGTCCAATAGAATGGTGATTTTGCTAGACTCTTTAGTAAAGATGGTAAAAAAAAAACAAGGAGACTATTAAGGACCAATAGAGCTAGAGTTAAGTGCCCCTTTTTGAAAGGAGGCTCCTACACTTGTCTAACTTAGATCTTAACTTATCTACCATAGGCTCCCAAAAACCAGCCGCCTTTTGATTGCCACCTAAAGGGAAGCCTAAGTAGTTAAAAGGCAGATTCTCCATTTTACATCCGAGAGAGGTAGCGATGGTCTCTACCTCTGAAGGGCTGTAATTTAACCCAATTAGTGTAGATTTTGAGAGATTCAATGACAAACCTGAGCTGTATTGAAAGATATTCAAGATGAACCACCGAAATCTTAGCATTTTAATCAACAGTGATTGAAATTATTTAATATGGACAAGATTTTGTGAGCTTGAGAGATGGGTTAGGGTAGGGGTGTTCAAAAAACCCGATGACCTGAACAACCCGGACATCCTGACCCAAGGGTTGAGTTAGGTTGGAAAAAAAATTGGTTTGGGTTGGGTTGAATTTTTGAAGAAATGAAAATTCGGTTCGATTCTCGGTTTAGACAAAAAATGGTCGGTGCAGCCCGAATCAAACCGAACCCAA